CCTCCTCCTCTCCTTCTCCTCCTCTTCTTCTTCCTCTTCCTCCTCCTCTTCTTCCTCCCACCCTCCTCCTCTCCTTCTCCTCTTCCTCCTCTTCCTCTCCTTCTCTTCCCCCTCCTCCTCCTTCTTTTCCTCCTCCTCTTCCTCCCCCTCCTCCTCCTCTTCCTCTTCCTCCTCCTGCCCTCCTTCTCCTCCCACCCTCCTCCTCTCCTTCTTCTCCTCCTCCTCTTCCTCTTCTTCCTCCCCTTCCTCCTCTTCCTCCCCTCCCCAGCTGATCGAGCGCTCCCCCCGGACTCTCCCTCGCTCCATGGTCCACGTCAGCATCATCACCTTCGTGATGGGCGCCAGCATCCACCTGGTGGGGGACTCTGTCAACCACCGGCTGATCTTCAGCGGGTACCAGCACCACCTGTCCGTGCGCGAGAACCCCGTCATCCGCAACCTGCGCCCGCAGACCCTGGTACGGGATGGGAAATATGGGACTGGGAAATCTGGGATTGGGAAATATGGGATTGGGAAATATGGGAAATGGGGAATGGGACAGGAACCTACAGATGCTGGTATGGGATGGGTAAATCTGGTACCAGCACCACTGGTATGGGATGGGTAAATCTGGTACCAGCACCACCTGTCCGTGCACGAGAACCCCGTCATCCGCAGCCTGCGCCTGCAGACGCTGGTACGGGATGGGAAATCCGGGAAAACTGGGATTGGGAAATGGGAAATGGGGAATGGGAAATGGGACAGGAACCTACAGACCACCACCTGTCCGTGCGCGAGAACCCCGTCATCCGCAGCCTGCGCCCGCAGACCCTGGTACGGGAAATCTGGGATTGGGAATGGGAAATCCGGGATTGGGAATGGGGAGTGGGAAATGGGGAATGGGACAGGAACCTACAGATGCTGGTATGGGATGGGTAAATCTGGTACCAGCACCACTTGTCCATGCACGAGAACCCCGTCATCCACAACCTGCGCCCGCAGACCCTGGTACGAGAAATCTGGGATTGGGAATGGGAAATCTGGGATTGGGAATGGGGAATAATGGGAAATGGGACAGGAACCTGAGGACACAGACACTGGTATGGGATGGGCTGGGCTCAGGGATGGTTAAAACCAGGATTTATCAATGATGAACCCCAGGTTGAGCCGGGCTCAGGGATATCCCAAACCAGGATTTAGAACCGATGGTAACTCGGGTTTGTTTCCGTCCCGCCGCTGGCGCAGATCGACTCCTTCGAGCTGCTCTACTACTACGATGAGTACCTGGGGCACTCCATGTGGTGAGTGATTCCTGGGATATTCCCAGGATATTCCCAGGATATTCCCAGGATGTTCCCAGGATGTTCCCAGGATGTTCCCAGGATATTCCCAGGATGTTCCCAGGATGTTCCCGGGATGTTCCCGGGATGTTCCCGGGATGTTCCCTGCGAGGGGAGGGAAGGGTGGGAGAGCCCCGGAGCCAGAGCTGCCCCAGGATCGGGTTCTGCTGCCCGGGGTTGGATTGGGATCCAGGCCAGGGTGGATCCAGGGATCTCCTCTGCTCTGGGATGGGCTCGGGGATGTGGCAGCTCTTGGAGGGACAGCTCGGCCTTCCAGAAGGTTCTGGAGTGGGAATTCTTCTGCCTGAGCTTGGCAATTTCCCAAGATTGGGAATTTCCCAAGGTTGGGAATTCTCCTGCCCCCACCAGCCCCTGTTCCCTGTGGATGCAGCAGGAATCTGGGAGCAGGGAATTCTGCTGAAGCCCTGGGTTGAGGGCAGGACCAGCTCAGGGGCTTTGGGGCAGCTCCCAGCCTTTCCCAGCTTTGGGAATTGCTGTTTTCCGCAGGTACATCCCGTTTTTCCTGATCCTGTTCATTTACTTCACCGGCTGCTTCACGCCGGCGGCGCGGCGGGGCCGGATGCCCCTGGCTGCCCTGCTCCTGGTGGGGCCCAGCAGCCTCTACTACTGGTGAGTGCCCCCCCTGCCTGGGGCTGAGCCGGGAATTCCCTGGGAATTCCCTGGGAACGCTCGGGGAAGAGCTGCTCCGGTTCCCCAGGGATCCCCAGGGCGGCTTTTGCTCGGCGGGGCTGGGAAATCAAATGAAACCTCCTGGAAGTTTGGAGCCACTTGAATCCCTGGAAGCTGGGACAGATCCAGGGGCACCCAGGACAGACCCAGGGCCACCCTGAGCCACCCAGGACAGCCCCAGGGTCATCCAGGACAATTCCAGGGCCACCCAAGACAATCCCAGGGCCACCCAGGACAATTCCAGGCCATCCAGGACCACCCAGGGACACCCAGGACAATCCCAGGGCCACCCAGGACAATCCCAGGGCCACCCAAGACAATTCCAGGCCATCCAGGACCACCCAGGGGCACCCAGGACAATCCCAGGGTCATCCAGGACAATTCCAGGGTCATCCAGGACAATTCCAGGGCCACCCAAGACAATTCCAGGCCATCCAGGACCACCCAGGGGCACCCAGAACATCTCCAAGGTCACCCAGGACATCCCCAGGGCCACCCAGAACAATCCCAGGGTTACCCAAGGGTGACCAGGACAGCTCCAGGGCCACGCAGGACAGCTCCAAGGCCACCCAAGACCACCCAGGACAATCCCAGGGTCATCCAGGACCACCCAGGACAATCCCAGGGGCACCCAGGACATCCCCAGGGCCACCCAGGACAGCCTCGGGATGACTCAGGACATCCCCAGGGCCACCCAGGACATCCCTGATTGCCACTGCTCCCAGGAGAAGCTGGGAACGCTCTCCAGCCTTCCCAGGACCAGGAATTCCCGCAGGAATTTCCCTTGCAGGTACCTGGTGACGGAGGGGCAGATCTTCATCCTCTACATCTTCACCTTCTTCGCCATGATGGCGCTGGTGATGCACCAGCGGCGCAAGGGGCTGGTGCTGGACAGCAACGGGCTCTTCCTCTTCCTCTCCTTCATCATCACCCTGCTCCTCATCGCCGCCTGGGTGGGCTGGCTCTGGAACGACAAAATCCTGCGGAAGAAATACCCCGGGGTGATTTACATCCCCGAGCCCTGGGCCTTCTACACCCTGCACATGAACAACCTGCACCAGGGCGCCTCCTGAGCCCGGCTGGCGTTCCCTGGGGGATGGGAAAGGGGGGAAAAAAGAGATTTAGGGGTTTTTTAATGTAGATCTGTGCGTTTCCAATAAATCCCTGAGAGGAGGTGGCTGTGTGATGAGATTATAATTAATATGGTATAAAATAAAATTAAGATAAAATATAAAATAAATATGAAATAATATATAAATTAGTGTTATATAAAATAAAATTAAGATAAAATAAGATAAAATAAATATAAAATAATATCATATAAATGAGTATTATATAAAATAAAATTAAGATTAAATAATATAAAATACATATAAAATAATATAAATTAGTATTATATAAAATAAAATTAAGATAAAATAATATAAAATACATATAAAATAAATATAAAATAATGTCATAAAATTAATATAATACAAAATAAAATACATATAAATGAATATAAAATAAAATACATATAAATAAAATACATATAAATGGAAATAATATAAAATAAGACAGAATAGAATAGAATAGAATAGAATAGAATAGAAAAAACAAAATAATTAATACAATACAGTAAATATTAAATATTCTATTAATTATATAACATCAATTACATTCATATTAATAATATATTTATTAGGATATAATTAATTATATCATAATAAAATAATATATTAATATACTAATAAATATATCTATATTTAGATATATATTTTTATATTTTATTCAGAAAAATCTCTACAAAATTAAAAAAAATTCAAACTAAACAATTAAACAATTTAAAAAAACCTCGATTTTTTCCCAACGACAAACAGATTTTTTTGGAATTCCAAAACTCGAGCCCGGATCCTGAGCTCTCCCAGCTCTAAGGAAGTCACAGCTCGATCTTTCCCACTCCCGAGCTTTGGAAAATCCCTTTTTTTTTCCCCGGGAGCAGGCGGGGCCGGGCTGAGCCGTATCCATAGCAGCGGGATTTTATTACAGCCTCACCCGGGGACTTCAGCCCTGAGCAAACCCCGAGCGGCCTCCGCTCCTGCCGGGAACCTCAAATCCCAAAAATCCTCCCCAAAACCATGGTGAGTGCGGCTGCTCGCGCTCTGCGCGCCTCCCAAACCTCATTTTAAAGCTATTTTTGAGTTTTTCCCCCCCTTTTTCTCTCTTTTTTTTCTCTCTCCCTCCCTGCTCCAGGCGAAGTTTCTGTCGCAGGATCAAATTCACGGTAGGTTCGGCTTTGTTCCGCTCGGGGTTAATTAGCGGGATTAAATTGACCTTTCTAGAAAAAATGATTATTTTCCCTCCGCCAAGTCGCGGTCTGGGTTTGTTGTGGCTCTGCCGGGATCTGGGAAAACGGGGAAAAATCTCCGCAAATTCCCTGATCCAAAAACCCAAATCCCGCCGGGAACAGCAGAAATTCCCGGTGCCGGTCCCGGTGCCGGTGCCGGTGCCGGTGCCGGTCCGGGTTCCGGAGGAGGAGGAGGAGGAGGATGAAGGAGGCGGGGCAGGGGATCCAAATTCCCATCGCGAGCCAATCCCGGCGCTGGGATCGCTCCGGGAATGGCCGAAGGAAGCAGGAATAAGAGTATTGATAAGGGTATTGATAAGGGTATTAATAAAGGTATTAATAAGAGTATTGATAAGGGTATTAATAAGAGTATTGATAAGGGTATTGATAAGGGTATTAATAAGAGTATTAATAAGGGTATTGATAAGGGTATTAATAAGAGTATTGATAAGGGTATTAATAAGAGTATTGATAAGAGTATTAATAAGGGTATTAATAAGAGTATTAATAAGAGTATAGTTATATTAATATAATATTACTGTAAATCTGATCAGCGCGGATTGGAGAGGGGAGGAGGAGGAGGCGGCCGGGCCAGGGGGGACCACGGATACCCCCGGGACACCCCCGGGACACTCCTGGACACCCCCGGGACATCCCCGGGTACCCCCGGGACACTCCGGGACATTCCCGGACATTCCCGGATACCCCCGGGACACTCCCGGCCACCCTCGGGACACCCCGGGACACCCCCAGGACACTCCCGGGCACCCCCGGGACCCCCCCCGGGTACCCCCGGGATCGGGAGCGGGCCGGGAAGGGGCGGTGAGAGCTCCGGGTCGGATCCGGGCCAGCAGCGAGCCGGGATTTGCTGCTGGAAAAGCGGGAATGCGGCGGGATGGCGGCGTGGGAGAGGGAGCGAGGTGGGGAGAACTCGGGGTCCTCCTCCTCCAAAATGTCCCACTCCAAGATCTTCCACCTCCAAAATCTCCCAGCTCCAAAATCGCCCCAACTCCAAAATCTTCCATCCCCAAAATCTCCACCTCCAAGATGTCCCGTTTCCAAAATCCTCCATCTCCAAAATCATCCACCCCAAACTCTCCCACCTCCACAATCTCCGCCTCCAGCATCTCCCACCCCAAAATCCTCCACCCCAAAAATCCCACATCTCCAAAATCCTCCACCTCCAAAATCCACCTCCAGCATCTCCCACCCCCAAAATCTCCCAACTCCAAAATGTCCCACTTCCAGCATCTCCCACCTCCAAATCTTCCAGCCCCAAATCCTCCACCCCAAAATCTCCCACCCCCAAAATCTCCCACCTCCAAAATCTCCACCCCAAAATCCTCCACCCCAAACTCTCCCCCCCAAAATCTCCTGGCGCCCTCCCCCTCCATCCCTCAGCCCTTCCCTCATCCCCCTCTGTCCCTGTCCC